TTATAAACGTTAAACGTTGATGCATAATCAAGTGTTTTGAGATAGGAAGCAATCTGGGTTAGTTATATTAGACGCCACGAACTCGGTTATGCGCGTATTAGCTTTTGACTATATTTGAGCTTTTTGTTTAAATCCAAGGTTTAAACGGTCACATACTTAGGAAATATACATAGATTGATTCTTCTTATATATTCTATTTATTAATCATTATAGAATGCTAAGTATTAAAAAAAACTTAGTTTATTATTTGGTACTCTAAAAAATTATTATCTATTTTTTTTAGGATAGTTATGTGTTGGCCATTTTTTTCTTAACTGAAGCGTTTTAGTGTAAATAATTTGTAGAACATTGCCAAGTGTTCTTTGTATGAAAAGACAAGAGGCAATTTATTTCTCAAAAACCGGAAGAACGCTTGTCACGAGGAGACAGGGTATTCACAAAGAAGGTGAATGTTTTTAAGAACAAAAATATTTATAGTTTTTGAAGTGGGCTTAAATTAAATCTGCCTCCAAGTCTTGTCAACGCACATATAGCCTCATGCTGTAACATACGACGATAGTAACATACACTTAAGAAAGAATTGTTCGCTTAAGAAACTTAAATGATAGATTTTAGGAAGATATCACTAGGAAATTGTTCCCGAAACTTAAATTCTGTGTTTATTAATAATTTATTTTATCAGGTAGGGGAAGGTGGGGACCCTTCGTACGGTTTTCACATTTATTTTTTCTTTTTCCATGATTCAATCACCTGATAGCTTAAATTTATAGTCTAACTATCTGAGATTCATATAAAAACAAAGTTAATGCAAAAATTAGCAATTAGTACACTAACACAATCGTACCTACCTACCAGAGGGTTAAGTCAAGATTCCTTAACAGTAGTGTATGTAGAAAGTGAAAACTTAATTTGTATGAAAATGACAGTTCGTGTCGACAAATTTTCATACAAATTTAGTAGTACAATTCGTTCAAATGTGCCCCATCTAGTGCTGTCCGAAAGTACCCCACTAACTAAATAACAACAAAATATAACTTATTTAAATATGAATAGGAAAACGTCATAAATTAAGTATTCGAGACGTATCTTAAGTATATTTTGCTAGTTACTGATAGAATACCTTACACGAAAACTTATTTTATCTACGGTAACAAGGGACAAAAACATTGATTAAAAAATTACTTACCGAGCGCGAAAACACGTCCATGCCACACAACTTCGTTGATGTAAAGTTGGTACCTCGACTCATGCACACATACAAAAGCAAGACTGTAACTTTGTTTCGTTCAAGTTTTATTTTGACTGTATGAATGTGCCCCGCGTACGAAGGGTAACGATATTCCCCTATAGATCTAAACCCATCATGCTTCTAAAAATGTGTTAAGTTAATTAAATTTAACATCAAACCGTTATATAAAAATGAGATTAGAAACCGGACCCATTCAGGAAACATGAATATGTTAGCAAAACGAAATCTCAGTGGTATACAAAATCTGAATAAACAGAAATAAGCAGAAACAAATTTCAGTGACACAGCGAGGAAAAGCAAAAGTTGCAGTCATTAGAGTTGCTTAACGAATTCTGTCGGTATGTTAAAACGACAGATAAAACCTGCTCACAACTCGTCGTTACGATTTTCATAGCAACACTTTCTGACAAGCATTTTTGTTTTTACTTACTTGCACTTTTTATAGATTTAATAGGTTCTTGACAACTGTGAATGAAGGTGAATTTTTAAATAACTAACACTTATGTTTCCTGAAAGCTAATCAAACTGCAATAAAGCTATTTGAAATATATTTCAACTGTCGTAATTGTAAATAAATTAACAATTTAAACATTAATCACAATTGATTAACTTAACTTATACAACTGTTTTACTTAATTTGAAATAACATTCCAGAATAGAGTTAGAGTAGCGTAACTACGACACACAAAGACTAATGAAAAGGCCCGAAGCTCGCGAATACGCATACAGGTGATACATGTTTGTGTCTGTTTCATTGATTGAGCATTATTCACCTGTCTTAAGCAAACAGGTCATTATTGCGATTTACTATTTACCTTACCCTTCAAACAACCAACCGAGATATAGTAATTTAAGTAAACACTAAGGTACAGAGGCCGTGGTCTAGATTATTTATTACTAGATTTTATGAACTAAAAAAGCTCAATATTTAATCGTAATAAAACAAATACAAAAACAGTTCATTAATTAAATTTATAGTGTTACGAAAATATATTCATTCAGATCATAAAGTTTGTCTATGGCCTGTCTGAGGTGACAGAAGATAATTATAGCCACGATTTAATGTGAACCGTTTCTAACATTATTTGTCGACACTTTAATATCGCGCACTCGAAGATAAATCGTCAAAATGTTTGATGAGATTTTGTAGTATTTTGAATTTCAATGGTTTTGAATTGACATTTGGCACGTTGAGTTCTCATAAAGAACAATGATTATCATAAAGAGAAGGAAAGTAATTAAATTTGATAGGAATAAATGATATTTTATACTATCACTAGTGGACCCCACAGACGTTGTCCTGCATGATATTTAAAGCGATTAGGATATTAAGCAAAGTATGAAAACCGACCATGCCATTCGGGCTGATTTGTAATTAATTCCAATCCTTGAACACACACAAAAAATTTCATCAAAATCGGTCCAGTCGTTTGAGAGAAGTTCAGTGACATACACACTCACAGAAGAATTATATATATAAAGATTTATAATATTGTTGAATATTTATTATGTAGTAGTGTTTATTAATCCTAGATTTGAGCTTTTTTATATTATTTTTATGCTTTCACTTTGGCTTTGTATGAACGTTTGAACATATCATTTTATTTCATTATTTCAACTTCCAAAACATTATACAGATTTCCGTTTTCTTAAATTTTTCAAATTATCATTTTTACAATTAAAAACTGTGTAAACAAATATTGTGGTAAATAATTATGTAACTAAATAAAACTTACTAGTAAAACTTAATACGTTCAAGAACAGGTCATGAAAAATATGATACCATCCTTTAACTGTCGCAGACAAAGTGCTTCGTCCCTATAAAAAATGCTTAATTTACTCGAGATTTAGGAAAAATATGGACCTACAGTAACAACAGGATTAGGGAACAGAATTACGGAATCATATTTTCTTGTCAGAAAATTTTAAAAATTTAAAGAAGTTTTCTTGGTTACATTATTGAAGTTAATATTAAATATATAAACCTTTTTTATAATAGAATAATTAATTGACAACAATAATAAGATAGTTTTATGAGAATTTAATATAGCGAAATGTATCGATAATTAATTAATAATTGTAATTTCGTGGTCGTATGAAATTATTACCACTGTATTATTTTATTAATATTATATAATAATAAATACCTTAGATTATTATATCAGTAGAAACCATAAAATATTATATCATGTTAGCGTTTGTTCGTAATTTTAGATTGATGTTTAGAAGTTCAGAAACTATACAACAACAACTTAAATTTTGTATTAACATTAACCAAATATTAAATAATTTGCAATATTCTAAGTTAAAATAATTATAACAAATAAATCATGACTACAATTTAACATATAACAGACAGCTAATATAATTTAACGTTTACAAGAACCAATTATTTCTCATAATACAACCCATACACGTATATAATTGCACAAAGTTCTATTTGTTCAGATAATAGGTATAATATTAACCCCAGCATCGCACGCGGAATCGACTTGCACTGAAATACCGAAATTACTGCGCGCTTTTAGTTCAAAGTTGACTCGCGTTTAAATTGCCGTCATTAACATTAATTATGTTCTAAATTGGATAGAGTAAAAATTTTATTTGTAGAGAAATACACGTCAAATTATTAAATAAACCTTTCACATGAGGTTTTTCTACGTCTGTTTTACTTTAAAAGTTGTTATTTTTTGAACGCCTATGGCCAAAAGGTTTCGAACTTTACTAAACTTTGATTATGTTTTTTTTACCTATCAAAATGTATTTAAACTCAGGTTTTTTTGGGGACAGGAAGCAAACGAGCAGGCTGGTCACATTGAATAAGGTGCTACTGCCCATGTACACTTGCAACACCGTGGGGCTTACGTATTGAAATAAAAAACCATAAAAAAATTAAATTGAAATATTTTGTGTGCCAAATAATCTAAAATAAATCCTCATTTAATCTATATCTTTAAACTCAGTTTAATTATGAAGTAATCAATCTAAGTTTACCATCTGCAATGGCTTCTATATGACGCGGTAAATACAATCGAGTCGACATGAATATCTTTTTTTTTAGTGATAATCTCTAAGATGATAAATTTTTGTTTGTTCAAGGGAGTGGGAATGGTTTAGATTCACATAGCAGATGGATGAGTGGTACTTTCATACTTTGCTTAATATCCTAATCGCTTTAAATATCATGCAGGACAACGTCTGTGGGGTCCACTAGTCGTTCTATAAAACTAAGTTGTATTTGCAACTGCGAAAATAGTTTCGCTAGTAGTTCGTGTCTTGTGCCAAAATTAAAAAGGAAATATACTAGCATTTAACTAACCTTTAGCTGCAGCTAACTTCGAGACAGTTTTAAACTTAAATTGCCAAGTTACCTACGCTGCAAGTTTGATGCCGTAGTAGAACTCTTTGCTTTATAAATGTATTATATTATATAATGAAATAGATTTAAGTTGCACGAAACGTTTTCACTTGAAAAACACGTTTAGTACTTATACTTTTGAATTAAATGGCCTCAATGTTAAAGAGTATTGTAATACTATAAATTGTTTATGAAATATGGAATTCATGTAACTTCGTTTGTATATTTTATTATTACCCAGTTTGTCTGTCTGTTTGTTACCAGAAAAATATAATATTGGAAAAGGATTTAGTTGTTGCAGACAACTTCATTTTTGATATTCTAATCATATGTCTCAGCCTGTCTCATTTTTTTAATTGTTTCTACTATAAAACACGACAATCCACCAAGATAATGTTTTCATCTCTTTTATTAATTTGTTCAATCACTACAGATATAGGATTGGCTGTTGCTACTGGAAGTACTTCCATGCTTGAGCTCAGAACACCAACGGGAAACCGTAGAATATGGAAAAACATGAACCCCTAATTTTGCTTGAGATCTATCTTGATTTACCAGCTCCGTAGTAAATTTTTTCAAGGAAAGACATTTTATTACCGCGCGAAGTTCTATTTTACCCATTTTTAAGAACACGTTTCCAACACGGCAAAAACAAATGACTTCTATTTTTAAAAAACAAAAGAGAATTTATGGTTTTTTTACTATTTATATATTGAATGTCTGGGCTACGCCTGACAATATTTTTTTCCAAGGAGAATGTATCGCATTATCTCTATTTATTGAACACCCTTCGTACAGTACGCAATTGAAGATAAGAAAAGATTTTAAGTTGTCAGCATTACATTTGAGATTAGGCTGTTACGTTCGCCGATTTGTATTGGCTGCTAATAAAAAGTATTACGTATTTTATGTTCGTCCTACGGTTGGTCGTAAATCTTTGCAGATGTAGTAGGTTTTTTAGTGCAACATCTTCATGGATGACCCGTGGATATCGTATACGTGTTACGACTTAGAATCAAAACGTCTAAGATTATAGTTGGTCCCCGAAATTTTTTATATCTTAACTAGCAGACCTGCCAAGCGTTGCTGTGGCTAAGGTTTTAGTTATATTACATAGTAGTAATCTATTCAAGGGAAACGGTAGGAGAACACCATTTATGTGGACCACCATGCTTTTTTGGTGGTTATGCTATAAATTAAAATTTTAAGCTATCCTATCTTTTAAGTTAGATCAAACTGCACACGGTATGCAAATTTGATTGATATCGGTTCGGTAGTTAAGGAGTCCATAGCGGACAAACAACGTGACACGTAATTTATATATATTAAGATGTTATTTGTGTATTATTACCTGTCGAATAATATAGCTACACAACGTAGTAAATAAAGTATTAAAAAAACAATTTGTAAATATTTTTATTTTCCGTAATTCCAACCTACGGACAACATAGCGCTTCATATACGGTTACGATTGAACTACAAAAGATACTTGTATATAGAATTTCAACAAATTTTAGACGCACTCCAAATTCAACGTTTGTAAACGAAAAACACATTTGGCAAAAGTCACTCCACTCAAAAACTAAACTTTTGGGCCATTTTTTTACAAACTGTCAACCCGTATTTTTATTCTGTTCCTGCCAAAACTACAGGTACAAACTGAATGTACAAAAAGTAAAAATTAGTCTGTTTTAAATTTCGAATTTAATTTGCGAATCGTAAAATGTATTCAAGTAGGCTTTTGAGGCACTTTAAAACGTCATTCTCTCAACAAAATCAAATGAGATGGTTTGGTATTTTTATGAATTTCACTATTTTTATAGAAGAGCTCGTTGCACAGTTTTAGCGCCTTAACGTTTTTTGTCTGTGAAGTCGAAATTGTCCATAAACATTTTCGAAACTGGCTGATCCTATTAATCGCAAATTCAAGTCTGTAGTAGTGCTGATTTTATGTTTAAGTAAGCTATTTCTATAAGTTTTTGAGATACAATGAATGAAATGGGGATATCAGTAAAAAGATAATACAATTAACGTATATCCATATTGCCTAAGTGTAGGTTTTATTTTGATAAGCCACAGATGAGGGGTGATACTGCTATCTACAAATATTTGCCTATCTGTACAATATATTTTTATGGGGTACAAATGAGCAGATGAGCACTTAGATAGAAGTGCTTACCACTGCCTTTGGACACCTGCAACGCCATACGAGTATGTTTCCGGTTTTTTTCTAAACGCTCTTCAATACGTATCTTCAACATGATTTAATTTTTTATTTAATGAAGTTTTGAAGATTTTTGTGAGGGTTAAAAGCATTAAGTTTGATAGTTTTTAATAAGTCATGTAATATTGTATATGTATTAATCTGACGCTCTGATGGCGTAGAATCATAGACATATTTTCTCGAGATATAAACTAGAATCTTATCGATCTAATGCTCTACTTTATTATTAAGGACAGCGAAATTATAATTTTAAATAAATTTTACTTTTCTTTATTTTAAATCATTATATAAACATTGGTTTTGAACTCTATTTGACACTATGTAACCGGCATAGACTACACGGCCTTGGTAGCTCAGCACGACGACTTTTTAAAGCGATCTTCTTTTGTTTTAGAGTGGTTTAGTGCTCCTAATAGTATGGTTGATTTAACCCCATATCGCCATAGAGCTTCATATTGGAGATTCATAGTTTCGATTTCATATCTTTTCAAAACATTTGTTGGTCAGCTTATAATAATATTACTAATATACACTATTTATAAACTATTGGTACAGATATACACTGAATTTAAGTAGATATTTTATAAGACAAATTTACGCAATAGTCTTAATTGTATGATTAGAAAGTTTTTTAGTTAAAGTGTTTTGTTACGATTTATATCCCGTATTGGCTTCAATCAAGTGTAAAGATTTTAACTAAACTCAAATAATAAAAGTAGAAGATTTTCCTTAAGAGATTTTCAATATAAATCGTGTCCTATAGATCAATGCTTTATATAACCATGTAAGTATTCCACATAGGGGTAACCACACCGCCTGTGTAATGTAGCATAAAATGAATTTTCCTCTAGCGATTATGTTTGTATAGCCTCCCAATAGTCATCTCAACAGATTTACACTAAGGTGTCTCAGATGTTGAAGAGGAAAACTCTTCCGCTTTTCTATAACCGTTTTCCTCTAAATTATAATTGTATTATGAAATATTGTTTCAAATGCCTGTATTGTGTTTTGTATTCTTTTCATAAAATCAATATATTTTATCTTCAACAAGAAAATACCCTAAAATTCGACTATTTCAGCGAAATTGGTGGCGGGAAAATTATGCCGTAATCTTCGTTATTTTAACTGCGATCTGCGCTTTTTACGGCTCGTAGAAATCTTAATGGGACATTTGAATGCAATATTTAAATCTTTAGTACCTAAAAGGGAACTGAACAACGTTTTTAACAAGTTTTAATATAAATATAGCGGACTTTTTACTTTTTCCTTAAAAATGTGAAATATTATGCCAATTAAGATATTTATGATTTGTACATAGCAAATATACCTGTGGTTCTCATATAAAATCATAAAATTGATTAATTAGTGCTTACATTTTTCACTATTTTAATGAGAATGAAATAAATTAAAGATTTAAACCAAACATTCTAAATCAACAAGAAATCTTCTATAAATCTATGGAAATCCTTATTACAGGTCAAATTTCGCAAGAGATAAGACCTTTCCAGAAAGGATTTGTCTGATTCTATCCTGAATCTGAGTTATGTGGCATTATTCTGAGCTATGTCTAAGATTAACGGAACCAGACTTAGACTTAATATATATATCCTATATAACAAGAATTGTGACTATTATAATTTTTTTCTTATTCTTTTTTTTATTGTATTGTCGATCCAATTACTTATACATATTATAGTATAACAATTACTTAACTAATCAAGATTTATGAACCTTATAGGTAATTAATGTTTTTTTTTAGATTATAGTTTATTAATTGGTAATTCTTACTTGTAATTTTATTTTTGGTAATTAAGTTATGGAGCTTGGCTTTCTTTAGTACATATTTATAAGTTTTAATAAATAATTAAAAATTTATTAGCCTCTGTATGGCCTATTTCTTCGCCATTTTCGAAATATTGTTTGTTGTTTAGCGAACATACCTCATTTGTTTTTTTTTTTACGGGTAAAAATGTCGCGTTTTTAATAGTAGGTATATATTAAAAATGATTTTTCCGGAAATCGAATACTAGATGCTTCTGCGTTCTCCATTAAGCCAAGGAGACGATAATTCGTTTCTAATATAGTGTTTATATTATCTCCTAATTGTATTATATAAAAATACTTTTATACTTAATTTTTTAATTCAAAGCCCAGAAAGGTTTATAACACTTCACTTCGTAAAAAAAGCGTTTACAATAGTTAGTTAATAAGCAACAATTTCATAAAGTAAATACAAAAAAATAATAATTATAACTAGTAAGCGACGGAAAATCTATCGTTTTTAAAGCGGCTTCGTTAAGATAAATTTAAATGAAAATGAACTTAAACCTACACCCTAGTTTGTTTTAAAGTTCAAGCTCAAAAGTCACAGTAAAATGAATAGACGCGGTTGAAGTTTGAATAATTTAATAGAGTCCTTTAGATATAGCTTTTAGGTAAAGCTTGAGTTTCGCTGAAAGATGTGAGTTATTGAATGGGCGGGTTAATAACAAAGTTGCTAGCCGTAATTAGTAACTTTTAATGTGTCTGGGTAATCAAAGTGCCAGCTTTTGTGTGCCCACGTGAATATTTAATTGTCAATAAATGATAAGTACTTTCATTATGATATTGTAGAATCTTATTGTAGTAAAGGTTTTAGTGTAAGGCTTCAACCATCTAAAAATGAATTGTTGTAAGATAATAATAACTCAGACTTGTACGATGTTACCTTTATGATGCCATTAAGTGTCGTGTCTATTTAGTTTATTTATGTCTTTGTCTATGTGATAAATAATAATAATATACCAATTTTAAATTGGTTCCTTAATAATTTGTTGGTATTCCTTAAATTACATAATTTCTAAGAAAAGGTTTCGTCCTCGAGGAATATTTTGAATGCTGCAGCAACATAACTTAAATCGCTGAAGGCCCGGTTAATTGCGAAACCGACCCAAGAGCCTCACTTAAACATTTTGTTTCCATGGAATTAGGATAAAATTTATTTATTCTAACCCGAAGTTCTTTTACAAGTTCAAATTGCAATATTTCTTATAAATTAAATTTAAATTAATTTTACTGCAACCATTTCTTATCATTTGTGTCTTGCCTATCTATCTAAGCCTCCATATTTTCTATATTTTTTTCTTTTTTCATATATAATATTTAATTTGTTATTTCAGTTGTTACCAGCCTGCGAGACGTGCGACTTCTCGTAGAACCCACAATTGTGGTGAGAGGCGGTATAGCAGCCCTCATCTGCTCTCGAGACATGCAGGGGGCGCCACTGTACTCTGTCAAATGGTATAGAGGAAATCACGAGTTCTACAGATTCACACCAATGGAGGAACCAGACACCAGGGTGTTTGGATTACCAGGGATCTATGTGGATGTAAGTATCTTTTAATATACTAGCGACTGCATGTCACTGTCTTTTTTTATATATTTGCTGAAGGGGTAGGCAGAAACCACGGCATACATATGACATACCTCTCTCGCTTCATCCACTTTCATGTTATGGGTCATTTTAACTTGTCCTTCTTCTAGTACCTCCTGGATTTGGTTTAGGTTTGTACGACAAGGCTGATACTGAAGGCTTCACCATCCATGATTAGTGGTTACCTTGTACGTATATCCAACTAACAGCTGTTAACCGCTTTTCATTCATATGTTTGAAACATATAGCTTAAGTACACAAACTTATCCACTTGTTCCCCTTTTTCTCTATCTATCAGAATATCGCATACAGTCCTATTTCAAATACTACCTTATTTATATAAAATTGTACACAGTACAACGTAATAAACTTTAAAACGAAGATTTCTCTCAATTATACTCCCCGTTGCTGGAACAATAATAAGATATCTCTAGGGTCCTACATAAACCTCATTATGATCGAGACGTTTGTATATAAAAACGTAACAAATATTTTTTAGTATTATGCATGTAATAATAAGAATAATAGGATAAATTTAAAATTCGCAGTGGTTGGTGTTGGTAAGACGAATAATTTGAGTAATCTCTGAATGAATTTTAAGTATATTTATTCATCCTTCACACATACAAGATATAGACATGACATTTCGATTCTTAATTGTCACAAAAATTTTGATTTTGTCAGAACACCTCTCACAATTAAACCTACTTTCAAATGCAATTTTTTATTTTTTTCTCAAATAACACACCGTTTAGAATTGTCTATTCTATCGGGTTACTCTTTTAATACCCAAAATCTTTAAAAAAGACCCAACCAACACCCAATAACTATTCAATTACTTAGAACTAAACCACAAAGCCCAATTCAAGTTCCATCTTACATGAAATTGTGAAATGTTTTGGTCCTGACACAACTTAGAGAGCACTTATTCTCACATATAAATCACAATGGGTATATTTGTGAACATGAGTTAAATGTAATATAATATACATATATCCCTCCAATCGAATTTGACTAAAACACTTTATATTCTTGAATTATGCTAAAAGCTTATTATGGTGGTGACAAAATTTCACTTTAAATAAAAATTCTAAATCGTATTTATTTAATTTTGATTACACAAGATTAGAACTAAAACAAAGGTATTTAAGAGTAATTCTAGAAAGCGTAAGCTATTTCGCGATTTCATTAAAGATTTTATATCGTTTATCACGAACCATTTTAAAACAAATTGTCAACAATTTATTTTCCACTTCTACACTAATGAAATAGATGTTAAAACAATATTTCATTACTAAGTCTTATCTCAAATATAAAAGAAAGAAATAACGTTCCTAAACCACTTTATAACGCATTGTGCGTACATTGTGTTACGTATAAAAATAAATAATATTTAGATTTTGTAAATTAAATCAATAAAATTAAATAGTTAAATAATTTAAGATTCAAATTGATTGAAGATTTACAAGATCATTGTTAGCCTGCTGTGTAATCATACCCCATGTATGATATTACACATTGTATGGTGAACATATCGTCAGGAATCACAAAGAGAGACACAAAGCTAATCGTATTATCTTATCAGTAGGTGCTGTAGTATAAGAACAAAAATCACACAGGATATTTCGTCATTGTATCAATTGTATCGTCAGTTGCCTGAAAATGTGGACGAAAATAATTACTACTGAAATTAAAATTAAAAACGATTTATGTAAGATTAAATATCCCCTATTGATCAAGCTTAACCAAACAACACTTGAATTAAAAGTAAATTCTCTCAAGTTCGTAAACACTGATCAACACTTTCAATTTGTTTTATGAAAACTAATCAATTACACTTAAATTTATTTATTTTTTAAAAGATGTTAATGTCATACCCGATGAAACTGTCAACTAAACTTACAAAAAAAACCGAATTTTGTTTTTATGGGTCTCATTATGTATTACAGTTATACCTTACAGCACTAACATTTTTGAGGTACGATTTAATACTTAAAATTAATCTTAACTACATAGGTACAACCTCCACATTAACTTCATAGTTTTTCTGGCTGTTCGTACTGCAATTGAAAACAGAATTTTAACTTTGTATTTGTCAAATGATTCGCCCGCAATCAAACCCAGGGTCAGCAATGCTTTTCACGTGGGACGTAAGTGTTTGTATATTCAACGCAGCAATATGTTTTAAAAATATTTCTCACGATATACGTATTTAAATTTTTACAAAGGAATTCTTTAGTTTTACCTTATACCTGTCTCTGACATGCCAGGATAGGTTGAAATAGCATATCCACATAAGTAGTTGAGCGTCTGACTCAATATTATCTACACACGATACCGATAAACTTTGTTTATAGTGATACTATAACTTAATAGCGTTTCAGGATTTAATAGGAGAGACTTTATGTTATTTATTTAGTAATAAAAATATTGTATTGGAATACTAATAACGGGTCTTTCATACTTTCAAAGATTTTGTTTAAATGCAAATTGTAATGTAATTTACATTCAGGTTATAGGTTTAATAAATATTTAATAATGGAAGTTGACATCGAAAATATGACCAATTAGGCGTAAAGTTTTCTGTGTGTATGTATTGTGTAATGGGCATGTCTACGCATTGTCCGTTGTGTTAAGCCTGCATTATTAGGGATTTAGGAATTGATTCGGCTAAGGTACATATTATTCCTGGAACTCGGCTCAGCCCGAATGACTTTCACGATGTGACTAGTCTAAATCAATCACTAGTCACAGTCACATTGAACAACGAACGCCGTCTAATATAATTTAAATTATCTATTTCAGTTATAAACTTTTCATTAAAGTATGTGCATTAAATTGTTTAAAAAAATACTTTGGAATAAAAATATAACTAGGTCTTATTTCATTTTAATTTATTATGAAAAGGTCCCTTATATACTATTGACAAAGAAAGTTAGCATTTTTTCGTATGTGACATTGTTGGTTATGTATAATATTGTCGATCCAGACCTATTTAAGATTTCAAAGGCGTGAAATTAAATTTGTAGGTATATATATAGATATATTTGTTGACAAAAGTATCGGAAACAAATATAAAATAAAAGAAGAATATATATTCTGACTTAGGGAGCAGTCCTAGTTTTAAAATAGCTTAATTAGTTTTGGAGATATGGTTATCCTTGTACAATATAGGTCTCCTATCTCCTAATTATACTTTTATTGAAAACTTTTTTCGACCGAAATTATGCAAATAATTTCGACGCATATAAGCTGTAATAAATTAATTAAACTTAACGTTAATAACTGCAAATGTTATTATTAAAGAAATTTAAATCTAGTAAAATTATAAAAAATCCTAGTAAACCAGTAGATAAAACTTATCCTTATGTGATTACTTTTTCAACTTACTTATTATTACTGCAAAGGTTTTAGCGTTAGATTTCTGCATGTATTTTATAATTTTTCTATAGTCGTACAGGGTCGAAAACAGCTGGTCACACATATTTGGAGTGTGAGTTTCCACGGACGGGCGGTATCACTTAACATCAGGTGAGCCTCCTGCCCGTCTGCCTCCTGTAACATAAAAAAAGTAATGGTGCATAGGATACAACTCTGCCTTGCGATTCTGTAACTCACTTTTCGAACTCACACAGCGGTTTTCGCATCGGCGGTCGCTCTCAAATCAGTCGTGAAGCAGTCATTTTATGAATTTGGCATTCTGAAAAGGTGGGAGCTTGTAGTTTATTGTTTATCAGAATGCCAAATCATAAAATGACTGCTTCACGACTGATTTGAGAGCGACCGCCGATGCGAAAACCGCTGTGTGAGTTCGACAAGTGAGTTACAGAATCGCAGGGCTGGTCGAGAATCGTATGCTTAATTACTAAACTAATACAGCTTTTATTTTATACCTTTAGGGACTAAAACCTTGAATTTAGTACAACGTTCATAAATGTAAACAAATTAGAATATAAAAGCTGCATTCACGTTAATTAGAAACACATTTAATCTCTTCATTAATTACGCTATTTAATGTTTTCTTATGTATTTTTAAAGCGTTATTTACTCATTTTAAATTGTTGAGCGATGCGACGGTATTCTACGTTAAACGAGAAAAAAATTAATTACGTAAACGACAATTTTTTAGCCATAATAATTTATATTATGTCCGGGGAAATAAATTCAGATAACATAACTTTTTCTTCAGCTGTGATACTTTTTGACATTCAATACCTTTTGTCTTCAGTCACCGTGACCACGCACGCTGTAAAGCACGCGAAACGTCAGGAAATTTTTAAAATTATGTAAAATAATTATGAGTTTATAATAATACGTAGCTTCAATTCGTTAAAAAAGTGTTTTCTTTATATTATGTTTTTAATATTGAAATTTTTGTTCGATAACGCACTCGTGTGGGTTTGGGGTCATGAAAGGTTTGTGCTCCTTGTGTGATTGTGACGGTTCAACAGCATCTCGAGTCTGAAACTCGTAAACACGCGACATGCTACTTGATGTGTTATACTCGTAATATCCGTGACCAATCACAATAAAATAAAACGTTTCGTCTTTTATTTTACGTTTTCCCAAGGTATGTATTTCTCCAATTTCCTCTTTGTACTTTAAAAACTGAACTAAAGTGCTGTAATACTGCCTAATTACGCTTTGAAAACCGGATATTATAATACAGATTTCAATTGAAAACATATTGGTTTTGGTAATTTAATAGTGTCATAACAACTTAATCAACTCAGCTGTCATATTACAATTACCATGTATTTACAATAAAATAACTTATTAGAAACTGTACTAAGCTTAATTAATTATAACATTTCATACATATTCAATAGGTATCACTTTGAGGAATATGTGCGTGCACTCAAAGTTAAGGTCTCGGAGCATCCAATGAAGTATATACTGGAACCAATGCTACATTAGCTATTTTACTTATATTTTTAGGGCAGGTGAAGAGCCTTCTCTCCCTATAAACTCGTTGAAAATAATATGTAGCTGGAGATTGAACCTATAACCTGCGACTACATCATGAGCGTAAGCATGAGCGATGCTGATTACCTAATCATCATTATATCTTAGTCTTTAACGTAAGCATTAAGTATAATTATGTCTACTAACTTTTCAACTGCGTAGGCATACAAAAATAAGTTTTGAAAGTACATCTCATTGAATTTTCATAACATGAACCCCAAAGCGGAGTTCAAAGGCAAAAAGTACATTATTTTCCTTCAAAATATTCTCGTTCTTTTACTCTATATTCTTTTGCCACGGTTTGTATCAAATTTCTGATCAAAGTGTTTCGATACGAGAAGAAATTGACATTTCGGTTGCGACTCAAGTGTCGCGGAAATATTGGTCTAAAATGTATTACTGGCTCAAATATTGCTCAAAGCTAATATTAGCGACATCATTAGGCTTACAAGAACACCCATGTATTGTAATATACAGTGAGCGTTAGCTTCCGCATGACTTCTGTGCCTGACATGCATTCAATTATTGAAAAGGGTTTTTTTTAAGAATTTAATTTTGTTTTAAAGGAAGTATATACAGGCCGTCCCAAAGTTATGGGACATGAAGGGAAAGTACCTTAAATATCGATAGGGTATTTACCGAAAGAAGACTTTATGTTTTTTTTTAAAGTTAGTAATTCTGCATTCAAAGATTTTCTAAAAATTACTTGCCTCGTCTGGGAATCGAACCGACTTAAATGTAAAAATATCACCCCACACCTCACACCCCTACTTTTATAATGCCAATCGAAAGAATGGCCTTAAAATAATAACTCTTCTTAAGTAACATAGTATTCGAAAAGAAAGGAACAGCGTGAAATTAATCATTATAATAAATATAGATTATTAAATATTTCTGTATAATAATAATTTATTATCAAATAATATATGTATTATTTTATAATTATATACCATGGTATGGCCAATCTAATTTGTAATCACAATATTTCAGATGAACCGCTCAAATGGCTCCCAAGTTCTTCTACGAAGAATGGATTTAGGTCTGGCTGGTAACTTCAGCTGTGAAGTGACAGCTGATTCGCCGTCCTTTGTAACGCAGATTGCCACCAAGTATATTGATGTTATTGGTAAGTATTGTCATCGTTATAGATATTATAATAAACATATCGCTTGCCCCGGGGAACAAAGCCGTTAAAGCAAAATCATATATTGTTCAGGAAAAATTAAAGAAGGTAATGCTATTATTACTAGGATACTATTTACAATAGATAATCAAACGAAAGCTTATTTTATTCATATTCCATGATTTAAAATTGTTGTTATGTATTTAGAGTAAATAGTTAAAAAATAACTAAATGTATATTACAGTAATTCATTTAATTAGACTGAAGAGCAAAAGCGTTTACGATTGTTTCACTGTTTAAACATAATTACGGACGACATAGGTACCGCACATAACGAAGGCACATTTTGACGAAAGTTTGGAACGTAATAATCTATTACTATTTTTCGCGGACATATTATGACCTTGGTGAAACAGGGATCCATTATTACCACTCTTTATTCGTTGTTAAAATGAGCTTTAGCTTTTTATCGTAATTTGGTAGAATTACAATGTAAACTAAAACTATATTTATGGTTATTGCGATCGATTTCAGGGGAGGTAAAATTATGTACACGAGATACTAACATTGTGCACAAAATAGTTTCCAAAGAATAAAGATATCCTCGTATTTTTTATAGTAAAATGTTTTGTAAAAATTCTAAAAAAATATTACAGTTATAGTACATCACCCAAAGAAATCAAAAATTGTACCCCGGGGCAAGCGATATATGAATCTTTTGCATAATCAAAACACGAAAATGCCTTTAATGACAGCATGCGAGTGTTTTCATCGCACAAAGATTAAGTAAAAAATATATATACGATGAGTTATGAAGAAATGTTTATGAAAAATAAATTGATAGTGTAATATTTACTTTAATAGAACCAGTGAGTTTATTGGTGAGTTATGTTTAAGGCACAGTACATGCGCGCCTCGACATTTTTAAAATTTATCAATCAGACTACATATTGGTAGTATGGCATATTATCTTCCAAAGATGTGTATACTTTTGGGACGTTTAATATATTTATCTAAAAAAGGTTAGCAAAATGAAAAACAAAAACTACCTACATACCCCTTAAGAAGCCAATACAGCATGCTTTGTACAAACAAATAATTAAAAAGTAAAAATATCTTAGTATAAAAAATAAGTGAGCAAAATGATAACGATTATTTCAAAATATTGAAAATCTGCTAAACTGTGGGTAAGACGGAAGAAGGGATCAATTGTAAATGTGAACTGAAAATTCACTCGCAAACTATGGTGAGGCGGAACGCAGCGATTGATTGATGAGAAGACATCTATCTTCAGCCAAAGTCTAGCTACGTGAAGTAACTTTGACCCAAGATACATAATCACGTTATAATTCTGATATTATCATAAAATAGTCTGTATGCACTGGCATATACTAGAGATTTTTTAATATATTTAACTCTTGTAGTTGTAATACGTAACATTTAATATCAATAAACAATTTATTTACGTCAGAAACATTAACACAAAACAGGTAATAATAAAACGTCGAAAAAAAAAGACATAGGCATCTTGCAGCTAAGGTTCTTCCAGACAACCCGACAGAGATTGAATATTTTATACTACATTAAGCTGAAAAATGTGGTTATCATAATTGATACTCAGACGTTACCTTTTGTTATTATTGCTGTTCAAATAATAGTTATCTTTTGTTTTAAAATAGTAAAGTTATTTTCGTGTTATTCACTTGGTTTTTACTGCTAACATTAAATTTTATTTAAAATTTTTAGCATTTGCAATATATACGAGCAATAATTTCCAAGCATTTTGATTTTCAAGTAAAACTTCGATACTTTAGGAGTGTTTTCAGTAAACAGTTTCATAGTTATCTAAGCAGTGAAATTCCCAAAGCTATTTTAGTGCCAAGTTTAGTTATTATACTCGTATCTACAACTGATGTGAGTAAACATAGCAAGTGAAGCAAATACCGATTTCGACGTATGTGTTTATTGAAAGTTATAGTACTTGACGTGTAAATTCATCATTTCATTTTTATAATTTATTAATTAATTAATAGATGGCGTTGTGTAAGACGCGATAGCAAAATTATGCCGTAGAATTATGTTTAGGATTAATTATTTTTGTTGCCCTTCCCGACAAAAAAGGCCCGTAGGAGGCCCCGAAATGTTCAAACAAATCACTGTAGCTAACGAAAATTAAAAGCCGCCCGCGCGGCAAATAATATTCAAAATGAGATTAGGGTAAAAAACCGCCTTCACCGGATAGGGCGTGACCGTACGTGACGTAGTAAGAACCTTTACTACGTACTTCGACGACTTCTGTGAGCTTCCGTCCTGCCTTTCAGGCGACTGACCACCCCGCGACGGCCCGAGCCCATATCCGAGTTTCGCAGAAGACGCCCTTGCGCTAGTCGCGGGAAAACGCCCATTCCGGCCAAGCAACGCTTGCCAAAACAGACCGAGCTGAGCTGTAAAGGCCCTTAAGACCAATAGCGAGATTCCATTAAAAAATATATTTTGGTTGAAGTAAATTTTCACAAAGTGTTGTTTATAGTAATTGTTGTCCTCTTCTTTGATTGTGAATATAGTACTTTATAATATAACTTGTGTATGGTGTGTACCGTTTCGTACAATAAGTAATTTTCGAGAATTCATGAAAAGTAATGAAATTTCTTATAATAGCTGTGTGAATAACTTTAGTACAAAATTACTTATGTATGTTTTCGTTTTGATAAAGAAGCTTTCTACAATTTACCTATGTATTTTCACCTTCATTACTAAGTTGGCTAAGCCCTAGGTTGAAGGTTCGATTTCCGGCAAGTATAATTGCTTCGGGTTGAAATCTACAGGCTGATTAGTAATCTGCTGATGCTCTATAGGAATGTGTAGTAGATATTTCTTTGTCTTATAAGACTTCGTAATTTTCCTAATATCGTTTATTGAACATATTAATTTATTGACACACTTAAACACACATATAAAAAATTACGTAACGTAAACTAGAAGCTTTATCACTAACAAGCGATTACTTCCTATTAACCCTAGTAGGGGAAACAAAGAAATACCCACTGAAAAGTGCAAAAAGTGCAAAAACTATATTAATAAAAAATAAAATTACAAGTAACACTAGAGTTATTAAACTAAATTCTAAAAATATTAGAAAAGTAAAAGATAGTTAAGGTTAATGAATCAGAATTAGTATATATATAAATTTAGCTAATTACACGGTAGAAGAGAAATGCTCGAGATTTTCAAATTAATTTAAAGACTGAACTCGTCTGCTTTCAAGAGGTAAGGAGTTCCAAAGCAGGATACTTTGCACAGTAAACGAGGAGTGATGGAATTCAGTTTTATGAGTATGAATTAAGACCAAGATTGTTACGGGAACGCATATCAAAATAATTTCCATAACTTAATACATTCAAATTAATACATAACATAAATATGAAAATTCTTCAACCAAATATCTAACAATGAAAGTAATGTAATTGTTTCAAATTAATTACGTTCCATTTTCAAAATTATTCGTTGAACAGTGTTTTTTTCATTTAGCTGCCAGTAATTGGTTTTAATGCTTCATAATTTTATATTATCGAAATTTGATTGCATTTAAAATTTCAGTTGGCGTTATTGAGTGAATAAATGGGTGCCTTTCTTCTACGCGTAATTATTAAAAATAATTAAAATACTCTCACATGACTGGAATAATATTTTTAGGTGACAAACCGAGTATGTCATTTCTTTTATTATACTCGTAAATTGCTAATTTTATACAACTAATGGCGCTAAATTCCGTTGCTATCTCAACTTTTATATAGAGTTATTGTACAACACAATACCATGCTTGCGACAGCGCTACGGATACAGAAATGACTATATCAAAATAGCATACAAACATGTCATATCACTATCGCTATTCAAAGTTTGAATACGAGCATCGATATCTGTATTTCTTTAAGCGTTTTCTTTTTCTTCATAGACAACAAAAATTATTTTGTGCCATGGCAACAATTTTTGGTTCTAAAACCCGGTGTGAACATGTTAAGAGCCGTGAGTCGCTATTAGGTTATCACTGCATTAGGTATTCCTTTCCTTAAAATACTCAGACAACATACATGATTTGCAATATTTAATATATGTATTTAACTAATAACTAACTAATAAACTAATATTAGTTTGTTCAATTCCATTTTATATTTCATAGAACCTAATATTTCTGATATAGTTTCCAACGTAGCAATGTTGGAAATGCTACGTGCTACGAAGTAATTCTAAGAACGCTACGTGCTCGCGTTATCTTGTTATTATTGTATCCGCTTAAGAACCAAAACAAATTATTTTAAATTTACTTTGATAAACAAAATACGTTTCCTCGTGGCAAATTTGGACTAGGTATATGGAGAGGCCGCTTGCTGTCCTAGGTTCTTTCAGTTGACAATTTTTAATATTTTGGAAAGAAATATAGTCTATGTTACTCAGGCATAATGTATCATCCTTGGGTATTTTGATTTGAACACCGAGGGCCCCTCTTATTGGTGTATGGCAGAGGGGTCTAAGAAACAGCCCCATAGTCTCCGGGTGAAGTTGGAAATCTGTGGCGCATGATCTCTTTTAAAAAAAAAGATCCCAATGACAAAATAATTTTAGAAATTGGTCCGTAGTTGTTTTTGAGTTTATTCGTTACAAACATAAAAACGTACAAGTTCTATACAATATTAGGATAGATGTATACAGTCCGCCTTATAAACAGAATCATTAATCTACACAATTAATTAATTAGTAATTTATGCTACGACTATGATGATCCGTATGACGAAAAAAATCCTATATATTTAGACCATATTAGCAGGTACCCATGCCCTGATTCAATTTTAAACAGATTATTAATTGCCCTCGAATCAGATATATCAAATACATTGACCAAAGAAGTTATGGAATGGTGCCCTGGACATTAAACGAGAAGTAAAGATAGACAACATCGTAGATGGGAAGATGATATTAAAAAGGTGGCAGGAGTGACATGGATG